CCAGAGTTAAGGGGCGGGTGGGGGAGAGGAAGGATGGTAAGGGGGAAGGGGAAGGGAGTTGGAGGATCATTCCATGATCCGGTCCTTCTGTACCTTGTTGAGACGTTGCCCTGGTCCGCACTACAATCTAAGCGCGCGAAGCGTGTGCGTGGCTCCAGTATCCATTCCCGCAGCCTCGTGGTCTGGACTCTTCGATCGTGACCCCACGGACGCGGGCGACTCTGCGCGAATGCCTCGCGAGGGGCGTGTCCGAGGGAACGCGCATCCGTTGGGTCGCGCCGCGGTGTCCAGGGCACGATCAGGCCCCTCTAACGCCCCTCTAAGCGGGGATTTTGATAAACCAGCACCTTGGCGCGCCCGAGAAACTTGCGGTTGCGTGTCGAAGCATTATCCGTTATTTGTTAGCAGTAGCCTGGTAGATTAGCGACCGGTGTTCGGCATGGAGAACACCATCGACTCCCAGGAAGGGGATCCCAAGGATTTCCTGAGGAGTCCTAAGGCGTTCCTGAGGCTTCCGAAAGATTCCCTGGGGAGTGCGAAGGGTTCCCTGGGGATTCCTTTTGGGATCCTTAGGGATTCCCTAGGGATTCCTCAGGATTCCCTAGGGTTTCTGAAAGACTCCCTTGGGACTGCGAAGGATTCCCTGGGGATTTCTTTGGGATCCCTAGGGATTCCCTAGGGATTCCGTAAGGATTCCCGAAGGATTCCTCTGGACCTCCTAAGGATTCCTAGAGATTCCTAGAGATTCCTTAGAGATTCCCGAGAGATTCCTTAGGGCATCCTAGAGATTCCCCAGGGATTCCCTAGGACTCCCTAAGGATCCCCTCAGGATCTCCTAAGGCTGCCCTCGGGCGTCCTTCTGGGATTCCTAGACGTTCCCCATGGATTCCCCTAAGGGTCCCCTAAGGATTCCCCAAGGATCCCCTAAGGATCCCCTAAAGCAGCCCCAGGGATTCCCTTGCGGTTTGCGTCCTGGGGAAGAGGCCTCGGCGTGCGGGCCCCGACGCTGGCTCGCGAGCGGGGGCCCCTCGAGGAGGGACGATCGAGAGCAACAGAAGCAGAGGGGAGGAGGAGGAGGAGGAGGAGGAGGAGGAGGAGGAGGAGGAGGAGGAGGAGGAGGAGGAGGAGGAGGAGGAGGAGGAGGAGGAGCGAGGCCGAGGAGGAGGAGGAGGAGGAGGAGGAGGAGCAGAAGGGGGATGAGGAAGAGGAGCACCAGAAGGGGGGGAAAAGGAGAACGAGGCCGAGGGGGAGGAGAAGGAGGAGGAGGAGGACCAGGAGGAAACGAAGCGAGGGTGAGGGAGGAGGAGGAGGAGGAGGAGGATGAGGAGGAGGAGGAAGGGAGAGGAGGAGGAGGAGGAGGAGGAGGAGGAGGGAGGAGGAGGGAATGGAGGAGGAGGAGGAGGAGGAGGAGGAGGAGGAGGAGGAGGAGGAGGACGACGACGACACGGCAGACGTGCCCGCCGCTCGTGCGCAGGCGGATCTGCTGTCCCACCTCGACGGCTTCGCCCTCCGCTGCCGCGCGGAGGCCGGAGTCCCGGAGGGGCCGGAGGAGGCCCAGGGCGCCAGGCCCAGGTGGGCGGCGGCGGCGGTCGCAGGTCCTCGTTCTCTTTCTCCCTCTTCTTCTGGTCCTCCTCCCCCTCCTCCTCCTCCTCCTCCTCCTCCTCGGCCTCGTTCTCCTCCTCCTCCTCGGCCTCGTTCTTCTCCTCCTCCTCCTCCTCCTCCTCCTCCTCCTCCTCCTCCTCCCCCTCCTCCTCCCTCCCTCCTCCTCCTCCTCCTCCCCTCTGCTTCTGCTGCTCTCGCTCGTCCCTCCTCGCAGGGCCCCCGCTCGCGGGCCAGCGTCGGGGCCCGCGAGCGGGGGCCCTGCGAGGAGGGCCCCGTCGGCCGCGGCACCTCTCTGTGTGAGGATGCGCTTCCCGGGGGCTTTCGCTGCCTCGATGCGCCCGTTTTGCCACGCAGCACGTGCCCTGCTCAGCACGTCCGTGTCGCTCCTTGGCACGGTGGCCCAGCCGATTGGCCCGCGCTCTGGCGAGCGCATCGCGTCATACCCACGTTTTCAGTCCACGTGTTGAGCTCCGTATCGATACGCTACGTGTTGCAAGTTGCGTATCAGGGCAGCCGAGCCTCTGCGTGAGGATGCAGCTCCCGGGAGATCCGATGCAGAGCCGGCGCTTGTATATTTCCGCGGTCGAAGGCTGGCGCGATTTGGCACAGTGCGGCCCAATCTGGCTGAATCTGGCCAGGAGGAGGAGGAGGAGGAGGAGGAGGAGGAGGAGGAGGAGGAGGAGGAGGCGGGCGGAGGAGGAGGAGGAGGGCGGAGGAGGAGCAGGAGGAGGGGGAGGAGGCGGAGGAGGAGGAGGAGGAGGAGGCGGGCGGAGGAGGAGGAGGAGGAGGGCGGAGGAGGAGGAGGAGGAGGAGGAGGAGGAGGAGGGCGGAGGAGGAGGAGGAGGAGGAGGAAGAGGAGGAGAAGGAGGGCCCCTGAACCGGGCTGCATAGCCCGTGATCGTTCTTGCGAAGACCTCCCAGGGGCCGCCTCCTAACCTCTGGGAGCCCGTCGGTTCCGGCTTCGATGCCTGTGGTGTCAGTGCGGGTGTGGTTTCCAGGCGAGGACGGTCCTGCGGCAGGCTTGCCTGCCAACTCCCCACCTTGGCTAGTGTTGTGGTCCTTGGCCTTTGCGCTGCCTCCGTCTCGCATCCTCCTCCTCCTCCTCCTTTTCTCACTTCTCCCCAGAGTGCGCTGGGCAACAACAGCACGCCCCTCCGGAGAGATCGTCGATACAATGGACTCCCCCAGAGGAATAAGGAGCAACGCGCCCCCAGTCGTGGTCGGTCGGAGGTTCCGTGCCCTTCGACGTGCCGTTGGATATCTCCGACGACGATCTGTACGGCTTGGACGGCTTAGCTGACAAGGGTCGGTCGGCGCAGTCGAAGATGTCGGCGGCAACGCAGTCAAGCATGTCTGCGCCTTCGAGAAGCACTGTGAGGAAGTTCTCGGATAAGGCCGCCACTGTGGCCGCCGTGACCGCGGATCAGCTGCTTGAGGGGCGGGGGAGCGAGAACAGCGAGATCTCGATGGACGAGGTCATCATTAGGAAGTGCGCGGCCCACGAGATCGACCGTGGCCTGCGCAGCAGAGTGCCACTGTGGCTGAGGTCGGCCCGATCGACCGAAGGCTGGAGATCGGGCCTGCTGCTCATGACCAAGCACTGGCTCTACGAGATTATCAACTCCGCTCTCATCCTCGCCAACGCCTTGCTCACGGCATGGGAGACTGAGTACAACGCGCACCGTCTAGACGACATCAGCATCCCTACGCACTTCGTCGTCTTCATGTTCGTCTTCTGCTTCATCTTCTCGGGAGACCTGGCCGCCCGCTTCGTCGCGAAGGGCGTCGACATGTTCTACGAGAAGGACTGGAGGGAAGAGGGGGAGCGGGAGGAGGAGGAGGATGAGGAGGAGGACGGAGGAGGAGGAGGAGGAGGAGGAGGAGGAGGAAGCGAAGCGAAGCGAAGCGAAGCGAAGCGAAGCGAAGCGAAGCGAAGCGAGGGTGAGGGAGGAGGCGGAAGCGAAGCGAGGGTGAGGGAGGAGGAGGAGGAGGAGGAGGAGGATGCAGGATGCAGGATGCAGGATGCAGGATGGTGGAGGAGGGTGACGACGACTGCCAGGACTGGAAATGGAGCGTGCTGGACTTCTTCGTGGTGCTGGGCTCCTGTCTGGAGGCCTCCCGGAGAGAGACCCTTTTTGCGCCCGCCAGTCCAGTTCGCCTTCCCCGGGGGCCTTTCACGAGGAGGAGGGAGAGGAAGAGGAGGATGAACACGTGGGGGAGAAAGAAAACGAGGAGGAGAGGGAGGAACATCAAGTAATTAGGAGGAGGAGGCGCAGGAGGAAGAGGAGGAGGGGGAGGATGACGCTTTTTCGGGGGAGCCTCTTGGGGCACTCCTGGGGCGTGTTGGGAGGCCTCTTGGAGGTCTCTTGGAGGTTTCCTTCGGCCTCTTGCGGGCCTTGGAGCTCCCTTGGGGGCTCTTTGGCCGTCTGAGGGCGTTTCTGGCCCGGCTGACGCCATCGTAAGTCGCCTTGGGGCTCTCTCCAGGCCGCCATCTCGGGCGTCTTGGAAGCCTCTTGGGCCGCCTGTGGGCCCTCTTTGGGGTGTCTTGGAAGCCTCTCGGGCCGTCAGAAGGCCGAAAAGACGGAAATGCCCAAATCCCCCCCACACACAAAAACATAGGGAACATCCGTGACTGGGGCACATCCGGACCTTCCTGCATGGAAGACCTCTTGGAGGCCTCTTGGGCCATCTTGGAGACCTCTTGGGGGCCTCTTGGGCCGTCTTGGGCCATCTTGAGGCCATCTGAGGCCGTCTTGGGTGCATCCTGGATCGTCTTGCAGACATCTTGCGGCCATCTTGGGCTCTCTTGAGGCCATCCTTGCCGTCTTGGAGGCCGTCTTTGCCATCTCGTGGGCTATTGTGGGGCCGTCTCAGGGTGGAGGCCAATGGAGGACGACATTGGCGGGGCCTGCCGCGCGGCCGGCGGGGGTTGGGCCGAGACCCCATTGGGAACCTTCCAAACTGCGCTACCGAGGAACCCTCATACTTGTATTATGTCTGGAGTGATGATAGCTGACATGGAGCATGCGAGAGCGATGTTGGTTGCCCTTGCCCCGACGATGCCGTTGGTGACGCCGGTCAAGCCTTGGGAGCCTGAGTACCCTGAGGGCGTCGAGAAACCGCCACCCCTGCCACACTTTCTGAGCCTGGGCCGTAAAGAGACCGCGCTCAGGGACCGCGTCGAGAAACTGCCACCCCTGCCACACTTTCCGAGCCCGGACCGTATAGAGACCGCGCTCAGGGACCATCCCCTGCGCACTCCCTCTGGTGTCGAGAAAGTGACAGGCCTGCCACACTTTGCGAGCCTGGACCGTATAGATACCGCACTCAGAGACCACCCCCTGCGCACCCCCTATGGTGTCCAGAAAGTGCCACGCCTGCCACACTTTCCGAGCCTGGACCGTATAGAGATCGCGCTCAGAAATCACCCCCTGCGCACCCCCTATGGTGTCGAGACAGTGCCATGCCTGCCACGCCTTGCGACCCTGAGACGGATAGAGACCATGTTGAGGGAACACCCCCTGCGCACCCTCTATGGTGTCGAGAAAGTGCCACGCCTACCACGCCTTGCGACCCTGAGACGGATAGAGACCACGGTGAGGGACCACCCCCTGCGCACCCCCTATGGTGCCGAGAAAGTGCCACGCCTTGCGACCCTGAGACGGATAGAGACCACGGCGAGGGACCACCCGCTGCGCACCCCCTATGGTGCCGAGAAAGTGCTACGCATGCCACGCCTTGCAACCTTGAGACGGATAGAGGCGACGGTGAGGGACCACCCCCTGCGCACCCCGTGTGGTGTCGAAAAAGTGCCACGTCTGCCAAGGCGGTTTTGTAAGTGCGAGCGAGACGGAGAAACAAAAGGGTGGGGAGGAGGAGGATGAGGAGGAGGAACGCGGGTGCGACGCGGCAGGGAAGAAAACCATAACCCCACGAAACATGTGGGGAACAAATACGACACGGAACCTCACATACTCATATTATGTCTGGGATGATCATAGTTGAAGTCGAACATACGAGAATGATGCTGGTGGCCGTTGCCCCGCCGATACCGTTGGCGGCGCCGGTCAAGAGGAGAGGAGGTCACCCAGTGTCCTCTTCGAGGGTGGCAGCAGGCACTTCGGTCACGCAGGGCACGGAACGAGATCTTCGTCGAAAAGCATCCGACAGCGCCCAACTCGCAAGCATTAGAAAATCCCTTGGACGGAGAGTCTCTGGGAGCGCTCTTCGAAAGAAAATCTCTGAGCGGGGGCCGCGCCTGTGCGCATGCCCGTCGCAGACTGTCAGCGAGAGCGCGCAGCGCTATGGCCTGATTGAAAGCGTTTCACCAAAGCTGCCCCGCAACTGCGCAAATTGACAGTGCTAACGTCGATGCGTGCGCCCGTCATGGACTTCTTCAGCTGCAAGCGCGGAGGCGGCAGTGCGTCCATGGCACATTTGGGCTGCATGAGCAGTGCGGGTGGCAAGGCAGCACCTACAATATCCGAGCCGGTTTGAGCCAGGGTGGCTACAGTTCTTATTGCCACATGCCGCGCTTTCCCGCCCTGGCACGGACGCTTGCCAAGCTTTTTGAGCCCTGGCACGCACAGGGCCTGCGGTGAGGGAACACCCCGTGCGCACCCTCTACGTCGTCGAGAAAGTGCCATGCCTGCCACGCTCTCAGACCCTGGCACGCATAGGGGCCGCGGTGAGGGACCACCCCCTGCGCATCCCCTATGGTCTCGAGAAGCTGCCACGCCTGCTACGCTCTCAGACCCTGGCACGCATAGGGGCCGCGGTGAAGGACCACCCCCTGCGCACCCCCTATGGTGTCGAGAACGTGCCACGCCTGCCGCGCTCTCAGACCCTGGTACGCATAGGGGCCGCTGTGAGGGACCACCTCCTGGGCACCCCCTATGGTGTCGAGAACGTGCCACGATTGCCATGCTCTCAGACCCTGGCGCGCATAAAGGCCGCTGTGAGGGACCACCTCCTGGGCACCCCCTATGGTGTCGAGAACGTGCCACGATTGCCATGCTCTCAGACCCTGGCGCGCATAAAGGCCGCTGCGGGGGACCACCCCCTGCGCACCCCCTATGGTGTCGAGAAAGTGCCACGCCTGCCACGCTGTAAGACCCTGGCACGCAGAAGGGCCGCCGTGAGGGACCACCCCCTGCGCACCCCCTACGGTGTCAAGAAAGTGCCACGCCTGCCACGCTATCAGACCCTGGCACGGATGGAGGCCTCCCTGAGGGTTCACACTTTGCGCACCCCTTATGGTGTCGAGAAAATGCCACGCCTGCCACGTGCTTAGACCCTGGTACGCATAGGGGCCGCCGTGAGGGACCACCCCCTACGCACACCCTGTGGTGTAGAGAAGATGCCACGCCAGCGACGCCTTGCGAATCTTGCGCACATGTTTTGTGTGGTGTGCGTGTCATGTGTATGATGCGTGCACAGCTGTATCTGGGCGTGCGTTCATGTGGGCGCTCAGTATGTGGCGCATACGTCGTGGATGTGTGATGCAGCGAACACGCCAGGCGTACACTGGCGTGGTTAGTGTGTGTGTGTGTGTGTTCCGTGTGCCCGCATGCGTGTCGTGTGTCTTGCGTGCCCTGCGCAGGTGTGCGATGTGTGTGTGTGTGTGTGTCTCTGTGTATGTGTGTGTGTGTGTGTGTGTGTGTGTGTGTGTTTGTGCGCGGCTGTATGTGGGTATGCGGGTGTGCGCGTGTGTCTGCATGCGTGTTTTGTGTCTGGCGTGTTTTGTGCATGTTCATGCTGGCTGCATGTGGACGTGCGTGTCATGTGGTTGCCCAGTATTTGGCGCATACGTCTTGATGTGTGATAGCGTCGACACGCCAAGCGCGCACTGGCGTTGTATGGTGCGTGCGCGAGTGTGTGCATACGTGCGGCTGCATGTGACGCGTGTCTCACGTACGTGTCGTGCGTGTCTAGCGCGTGGGTGAGGTGAGGAAGTTAGAGGAGGAGGAGAGGAGAGACGGAGGTGAGAGAGGAAGACGCGGGCGCGACGAGGCAGGACGAGGGGTGAGGAGGAGGAGGAGGAACGCGGGTGGGACGTGGGAGAGAAGAACACCAGAACCCCACCAAGCATGTGGTGATCAAGACGTTCAAACATGTAGCACGCCGTGCACCCCTGTGATACATCACCAGGGGGGCGGCGAATCGAAGACGCCTGCGGCGAATCACCGCCGCCCCCCCGAGCGTTGTGGCAGGAACGCTGCCAAGATCTGCCAAGTTATCGGACCATGCGTTCCCCCAGCCATTGTGGAAACCCTTCGGGGAGCACTGGGGGGGGGATGGCGGGGGAGATCAGGAGGAGGAGGAGGAGGAGGAGGAGGAGGAGGAGGAGGAGGAGGAGGAGGAGGACTAGGAGGAGGAGGAGGAGGAGGAGGAGGAGGAGGAGGAGGAGGAGGAAAAAAAGGAGGGGGCATCTTGGGAGCCTCTGGGGGCACTCTTGAGGCCTCCTGGGAGCTTCCTGGGAGCCTCTTGGAGGCATCTTGGAGGCCTCCTTGGGCCTCTTAGGGGCCTTGGGGAGCTTGTCCGGGGCCTCTTTGGCTGTCTGAGGGCATTCCTGGCCCGTCTGACGCCGTCGGAAGCCGTCTTGGGGGCCTCTCTGGGCCGACTTTGATCCCTCTTGGGGTGCTCCAGGGCAGTCTTGGAGGCCATCTTGGGCGTCTTGGAGGCCTCTTGGGCAGTCTTGGTTCCCTCTTGGGGCCGTCTTGGGGGCCTCTTGGGCCGTTCTGGGGCCATCTTGCAGGCCTCTTGGGCGATCTTGGGGCGATCTTTGGGGGCTCTTGGGCCGTCTCGGGCCATCGGCAGGCCGAAAAAAGCAAATGCCCAAATCCTTCAAACAACTAAGGAACATCAATGATGTTGGCCTCTTCGGGCCTTCCTGGGGGCTCTCTTGGGATCTCGTTACCTGGCGCGCAACCGTGCAAGTGGGCGTGTAGCTCGTCCTGAGTGGCCAGCGCGATCTCGGCCTCGGAGGTAGCGCCCAGGTTCTCGCCGTCGCCCACGAGCTCTACTTCGCCACTCCCCAGCACGTTCCGCGCGCGGGCGTGGGGGTGCCCGGCCAGTCCTGCAATGGAGTAGTTTCCTCCTCGTAGTAAGGCT